AGAGAGAGAGAGAGATGCTCCTCTCACACAGTTCTCGCATGGTATCAAATAAAGAGCGTTCAAGCCCTAGTCACAGATCTCAAGAATCTAGAACTTCACCTTCCCTCCTCCCTCTCCTACAGTGTGAGGGAGGCTCTTCCTCAAAGTGAAAATTTTGGCTCAGGTTTCTATCTCTTATCAGCAAGTCATTTATGGCTAGACCCCTTGCCCAGCGCAGACAAAGACATAAAAAGGCTGAAGGCGCCCAGTGAAGACAAAGACATACAAAGGGCAGAGGCCACAGTAAACCTCTCCCATTACACACCCCAGCGCTGTCCCCCCTTCTCCCCCCCCAACACCACACACACAAAACAAAAAAAATAGAAATATTGTATAAGTCCTATTCCCACCTGATTAGACCAAATCTTGACCATGTATTGCCTGCCCATATCTCAGTAACGAACCCTTCTCCCTCTCATTACCCAACATTACTCACCTTACCAAGGTCCATCCATGTATATGACCATTTCACATCCTCTACCCTGGTCCTACCCAAAAGCAGCCACTTGCTATAGGTTGAGTTTTCCATGTTTCTTGAATTTTGCTGTTTTTTAGTAATAAGGTATACATTACTCAAGTTTTTTATTTTTCCAAGATCTATACCCTTAGTAAATTTAGTCCGCTTGCCCAAATGCTGGGTTTACTAGGTTTAGTAGCTGGCAGAGTTGAGCCCTAGCCCTAAGCTGGGAAAAGTGTCTTTTTGGGATTGTGGTCAAGCATGAAGCATAATTTACTACCTTTGTATGGATCTAATATTCCATTCAGATCTGTGTTTGGTCAACTTCCAATCCTTAGTTTGACAAATCCGATTAGCGAAAAAAAATAGTTAATAGATCCCATGAGATAGAACCACTGTTACTGAATGGCTTCTTGCATTTAATAAGACTAATGACTACTTGACAAACCCAAGTATGAGATCCCTAAGAGATTATTTTATTTTTTTTCCTTTTTAGATGAGTGGCAAGAGATATCTTGGTGATTATTGATACCAGTGAACTTGATGTGAAAACTCATCATCTTTTGTTCTAGGTTGCTGAGGGGAGAGGTCTGAGACTAAAAGACATTTGCCAGATTGTTCTTTTCTTTCCTGCATTACCTTTTTCTCATTTCTTCTTGAGATTTTCATATGGACCCTTCTGTGGCATTTGCTTTATTTGTTTTTGTGGCTATACTTCTTAGTACCATGGCAAAGATATGGTGTGCCAAGTCATACTACTCTCTCGATCTTTCAGTCTAACACTATTGACACATGGAATGCATTACTTAAGTTTAATGAATCAGAGTTTTGGACAACCATTGCGACTTCCATGGAACTCAGTATTCTACAAAGCAGGGAGCTTCCTTAGGATATAAGTGATTGCTTAGAAAATTGGCATTTAGTTCATCTCTGTTTCAGAGGTGGAAATTTGATGGAACCGTGAGCATGTCAAGTTCATCTTATCTTCAGTGCCTTGGTGGTTATAAAGCCAATGCTGTTTTGGTGGTAGAAATTCGATGTCTTCGTGATCTTGACGAGTCATTTGATCTTCAAGGCATTTGATGACGGTCATACAGCAGTAGGACTCTGTGTGTATTTTGGAGCCTAATGCATGTTCTAACTCAAAAGGTTTATCTGGAAGCATCTGTACAATGTCCCTGGCTAAGATAATGACTTCAAGATATTAAAAGTAGTACAGGACTTGCTTAGTTTTAACCACGGAAATGGATCAATTAAGAATTCGTCCAATAGGCAGAAGAGGTTTGAGATCAGTCAAACTATTACTAGCTCCTTATGTGCCTCTTGTTGCTTTAAGACTTTCATGAAATATGTAAAAAGGAAATAGGGATGTTCAACTTCCATGTTAGTTTAGATACAAAAGTGCAGCCCCTTCTTGATTATCCCCTTCTGAGGAATGTGTGCCCCCTACTAATTAAATGTAAAACACATGAAGTGTGAATAACATTGTCTTAGATAACAGTTTCAAAAAAATAAAATTGTCTTAGATAAAATTCATATTTGTTGGGATTGGGATTGGGATCAGGATAGGGAGTAAGGGATCGTGAAATGCTAGAAGGTCCTTATGATTTGGAGCGTCGTCTGTGCAATGCATATGTTAGGGATCTAGATTCCCAAATGTTAGAGTTCGAGATCTTAACATTTTGGGGATCTTAATCCAGACCTTTCGGAATCTGGATCCTAACCTTTTGGGGATCTTGCTTCCAACCTTGAGTAGTATGTTTAGTCTAGGACTACATATACTCTTTAAAATGTGGATCTCTTGATTTATAGCCAACAAGGAATACAACTATATTAAAAGTATAGTTGCGTCACTAGTTGGCTATAAAAAAAAAAAAGATCAGTTTGATTGTTGTCTTGTTCTTTAAAGTTGGGATCAAGATCCTTAATACTAGGAATCGGGATCCCTAATAGCGGGGATCGAGATCCAGAAATTAAAAATTGGGTTTCTATGAAGAACCCTTTTCCGGAGCTCCAAAATGAGATTGTAGAGCAAGAGCACCACCTATGTTGGGAGATCCCGGTAAATATGATACAATTATACTTGCAACATATGTAGAATTCTGTTCCTTGATAAGTTTAGCTCTAATCTTCACAACATGTAATGATCCTAAAAATTTCAAAAAAAAAAAAAAAAAAAAAAAGAAGAGAGAAAAGAAACTTTTAATAAGAGATGGTCCACATGAGCATGATGGTCCTTAAGGACCATCACTATTTTCAAAAGCTTTTGCCGCCTTGCTCTTGCCACGTCCACTAAAGCACGTGGGCTTTAAGCGTTTAAAGTGTAATTTAACGGTTACACCTCATGTGTGAGGTGTAACTTAATAAAAGAATATAATATAGTACCCTAAGAATTTAAATACGAGAGGCAAGGACTTCCACCCTAGAAAATTTTGAGATCTTTCTCTCTCTAGTCGAAACGCAGTGAGCTTTTTCTCTTTTTAGCTGAATTTTTATTGGAAGCTCCCTCTCAAATATTTTAGGTAAGTGACTTCATTATCTTGGAAAATAATCTGCTATTTTTAAACATGAAATGAAATAATTATTTCTGCTTATTATCATGAATTTTAGGCGCGATAAATTTTATGCGCAAGTGACCTCATTAATTTGAAAAATAATCTTTTTAATAAAATTGTGATATTTTATCTATGATAGAAATCTTAAATGCTGTAAATTCTTAAAAATAAATTTATTTATTTTTCTTGTCTATTGTTAGAAAATTTTAGATACTGTAAAGTTATTAGAAATAAATGTGATATTTCTACTTTTAGTAAAATTGTGAGATTTCTTTCTACTGTTTTTGAATATTTAGACATTGTAAATTCATGTGCAAATGACTGCCTTGTTATTTGAAAACTGATATATTTGCAATTAATTATAGCATTGTCTGTGAAATGTTTATTTGCGAATTGACATCCCATAAATTGTGATAATTCCGTATTCTTGAATTTCTATAAGAGTTTTTCTATACATATTAGATTGGCAATTATGCTAGAACGTTTTTACGAACTGCTACCTTTCTAAATTTGAGCCCAAAATATTTTGAAGTGTTATTGAAAGTGATTGTTATTAATGGTTTTAGTGAAATTCATATTAATGATTTCAGTGATATGTTGAGTACATGATATTGCTGCTTTCGAATGTTTAAAGAGATTTAGAAATACTTTAAGTATGCAAGTTGACTCATCCAGTTCGCCGGTGCGGTTTAAGTGGACCTATCCGGGATGTCGGTAGGGATTAAGTGGATTGATCCGGTACGCCAGTGAGGTATAAGTGGACCTGCAGGGATTAAGTGGACCTATCGGGGACGCCGATAGGGATTACGTGAACCCATCAGGACGTTGATGGGGTATATAGGTGACCTACTTGGGACGCCAGTAGGGTAATTTTGTGGAATCTTTTGCATTATTCATTGCCGTTAAAATGTTATACGCATTTCAATTATTCGAATCAGTGTTTTAAAAATCGGCGAGTCGAACCTGACTCTCCTGGTTCGACTCGGGAACAAGCACAGCCGGGCCGGTTCCGATACAAAACTGGGAACCGCCCGGTTTTAGAGAAGAACCGTCGGTTCCAATCCGGTTTTGTCCAGTTCTACCCGGTTCAGCCCGGTTCCCTCCTTACACGCGTGCGACACGCACGTGCACGTGTGCGAGGTTACCCCA